GTTGATTAAATACCACCAAAAGAAAGCTCTAGTTGTGTGAAGAAAATGATAAAATTTTAGTTTTGGTACAGTGTTGTATGACCGCGCAATTGTCATTCAAAGTGTGAGAGCGCAGAAACCTGAAAAATGGCCTGGGCAGGAAAGGGGGTAAAAGTGTCCTGTATGGAAGCAGTTAAAGGCAGTAGAGGCAGAAGAAGCGCATTCAGAGAGGAGAGGTTTGGCAGAAACATGCTGATGTGGCAAAAACGCATGTAAACACGCGGTAACTCTAGGTATGTTTAGAGCTTGAATAATAAATTATTATTCTTGTCAATGCACTTGACATGGCTGGGCAGCATTGACCTAATTAACGGCCAAGCACTTGACGCGGCTAACACAGTACACACACTTACCAGAATCAAGTGTTTTTCTGCTGCCAGGTGAAAGGCATCTACAAAGCATCCAGTGTACATGAACCCTTAAACATACATTTATCTAAATATTAACCTGTCATGAATCTGATTAGTGGTTTGTGCTTTAGGCAGGCCATACATGGAGCGAATTTCTTTCCTTCAATGGCAGGATGCAGGAAAGAAATTTGCTTGATTCCCCTAGACAGTGTTGACAGGGGAATTCCTCCCGCCGAGCCATTGTGTTCTCCCAGCAGAGGAGTGGGGAAAGCCATCCCTATCGGGAGAAGACAGTGAGTATTGATAGAGGCTATAGAGGCCTCTAGCAATAATCGCATCTAAAACTGGTTGTACTCAAGTTGATTGATCAACATGGTAAATTTATCCTGTCCTTACATGGCTCGAATCCTGACCAGTTCCTGCTGAACCGGCTGAGATTCAAACCGTCTATGGCCAGCCTTGGAGAGAGGAAGCCACACAGTACATGCTTCAGGAGGCAGATGCTCCTATTTCACTTGTTAGGAGCTCTGTGTAATCTGGCTTCAGTTTAATACAGAGAACTTTGGTGGACTTTATCAAGATTGCAGCATTTTTAGGATAGCGCAATAGTTGATTTAACATATTAAATAGAATTGTTATTTAACAACTTGAGCCGTTTTAAAATGATGGAAGCAGTTATTTTTCTCAGCTTCATTTTAAAATGGCACTTAGATTCAACGGCTCCTATGGACCCCCCTCCCTGGTATTATCATTGGCCCTGCCAGCTTTTAGTGACTGGCAGGGTCCAGCACCATGAAATATTCAGCTGCTGAGTTTCTGATGCTTCTGCAGATTTCTTTATAGGAGCACGCTGTAGAAGCAAATGTAAACGCAATGGGGGGATTTGCTGAAACTTGAGCGTGCAAACTCTGGTGCAGATCTGCACAGAAACCAATCAGTTTCCAGATTTTATTGTCAAATCCAGGGGAGGACTGACCATTTGGAAACTCGGGCATTGCCTGAGGGCCCGGAGTCAGTAGGGGGTCCCATAAGATGCCCCTGGTACCTTTTTCATAGGCTTTTTTGAGTTTGAGCAAGGACACATGGGCCCCATGATCCCCTATTGCCCGGGGGCCCCATGAGTTGTCAGTCCGCCCCTGGTAAAATCTTAATTGAACAAGCTGAATTTAAAACTTGATTGGCTGTCATGCACATCTGCACCAAATTCTGAGTGAACCAGTTTTGGTAAATCTCCCCGAATGTTTTTGCATGACATTTACATCGACATTGTAGTGATGTCATGGCACTTCCTGACAGTACAGAATTTCAGGCAGAGTTGTTTCTACTCTGTCCTGCCTTTCCCTACAGCAGTAGATAATTGCTATAGCCCATCTGCGTGTGTTGCAGTGTAGCTTTGAAACAGGAATAAAGCTCCTAAAATAATTGTACTCAGCTTCATTTTCACTCTTTGTTGCATCCAATTGCTGCAGATCTCTTGCAACTGGTTTACAGCCTGGTACAAGAACTTACTCTGAGCTGTTGGGTTTAGATAAATTTAGATTCAACTCTGACATGCCTCATGTGTAGTTGTGAAATAAAAGGCATGTAGTATTTTATCCAAGAGTTCGATGTTGCATGAAAGCAGACTAGAGTGCCTATCAGTACATAGTCAAGGAGGGTCAGAGCAGTCACCTTAGGTGTGAAGGTATAGGAGTCGCCTTGGACGGCAAAGTAAAGAAAAAGAGAGACAAGAATGGGAAGAAAAAAAGGAGTGGTTGAGCCAAGGTGGTGTGGTCGATGGAGTGATTTAAGAAGCTTGAAGGAAGCCCCACTAATTCACTGCCTTGTATGTCTGAGTGGAGGACATACAGTCATGTTTTGGTCGATTTGGAGGTTTCTGAAAGGGAGCCATAATCTGCTGCAGTGTTTTTCTTTATAATGGAGTCAGCAAGTTCAGATTATTGACATCCGTGTCCCATTAGTGAGATTTCCCTTCAATTCCTGTCCTATAGCCACAACAAGAAGTTAATCCCTGGTTGTAGCTAGGGTTACCAGAACTAGTGTTCCCACTGGAAGATTTCCCTTCTATTCCTGTTCTGGTGACAACCCAAAATTTGGGTTTCTTTCACATTCACTTTCAGTGATAAAAATAAACAGGACAAATAGAGAAGGTGAATCTTCCTAAAGGAAGCAGAGACAGCAAAACATTAGAGTTTTTTAAATCTATCTCCACTCTATCCAAAATTAAAAAGAAAATTTTTGCCTTTAGTTATACTTTAAGGCCCACTTTAAGATACATAATATATACACTATATTGCCAAAAATTTTGGGACACTCCTCCAAATCATTGGATTCAGGTGTTCCAATCACCTTCATGGCCACAGGTGTATAAAATCAAGCACCTAGGCATGCAGACTGCTTCTATAAATATTTGTGAAAGAATGGGTCGCTCTCAGGAGCTCAGTGAATTCAAGTGTGGTTCTGTGATAGGTTGCCACCTGTGCAATAAGTTCATCCGTGACATTTCCTCGCTACTAAATATTCCACAGTCAACTGTTAGTGGTATTATAACAAAGTGGAAGCAACTGGGAACAACAGCAACGCATGAAGTAGTAGGCCACATAAAATGACAGAGCAGGGTCAGCACAATCAGAGGGGCTGATTTTCATACTTAAGGGATCCTGAACAATCCCCAGGCAGGAGGCTTTGCATGGAGTCAGGACAGCTCAGCAGCAGGAGAGTTCTGGTGGAAGATGAAGTGAGAGGCTGGGATGCAGGAGTCTAGGAAGGGACCCAGTGGGAAGAGACCTACCTCTAGGCTGAAGCTGAAAGGAGGATCTCTCAACCTCAGTAGTCCCCTGAGAGAGGACCTCCTGTTCAGCAGGTAAGGAGCCAGCCCAGTGGAAGGCCTGCAGTCAGCTACCAAACCTAAAAGCTCATAGGAGAGAAAGAGTGAGTAGTCCTGCACCCCCCTGGGTTGGATAAGGGAAAGAGGCATTCGGATGGGAAACCTGACTATCCCTTATCTGGGACTGATGATATGCACAGACAGATTCTGGGTCCCCTTGCCTAGCGATTCACCTAGTACAGCTGGATGTGGAGAAGATTCATCTGAGGTCTGGGGTGGTACATCAGGAGAGGCTGGAGAGCTCTCCAGCAAAAAAAAAACCTCTCTATATAGAGACTTGTACACAGTTGCTAAGGAATTGTCCTCAGTTGCAGTTGCATCCTATACACCCCCCCAACCCCATCCAAGTTATTAAACCCTTAATAAAAACAAAAAAACCTAAGCTCAATGACTGTTTTCTGTCTCCAGAATGCAAGTCTGTGAAAAATGTGTGTTGCCTGGCTTTGCAGGACTGTAGGGGGACCCAAATCTTCAGCAACTCCTGAGGGGGTAGTGCTACACTTACCTAATTAATGACTAACTTTGCAACTAACCTTGCTTTCCTGGAAACCAAGTGCTTTTACGGCATATGATTGTTTTCAATGACTATTCAAGCATTAAACCTTCCAACAGTACACACCATTACCCTGCACTGAGATTAAGGTTAATGAATTAGTTAAACAACAGATGCCCTCCTTGATAACTCACAAGTACTGTATATCCTTTATATTGACAACAAGTACATTTAAAAGAGCCTGAGAGAAAGGCTAGCTATTCACGCTTTAATATCGTTCATCAATAGATCACTCTATCCACATTAAGCAGCATGGCTGGAGGAATCTTCCCTATCAGAATTCCAAAACAGGGACTTTATTTAATTGAATGTAGTCCTTTGTTTTTTTTTTGTGGAAGTTTGTTGTGCTGGGTAGTACCAACAAAGCCATGCAAGACTCAAATTTCAGCCGATCCAGCAAGAAATAAACAAAGTTCCTTGGAAAAATGTTAGCTTGTTGGCTGTTATGTTGAGCTACTGGATTCATTACCTCCCAAATTACTGGACAGAGCAAAAATTTAGATTAGGAAAGTCAAAGAAAAATAATAAGTGTTTATATTCATTTATATTTCCTTGTTCTGGGTCAGTGGATTGAAGTATGAAAGCAAGGCAATTAGCATGACAGCCAGGCAACTAGCATTTTTAGAAGTACAGGGCAGCAAGGACTGCCACATTGTTTCTCTCATGTCTGGCTGTCTTTAAAAAAGAACTTTTGTCTAATTTAAAGTTGGCTTAAAATTTGAAAATGAGCAACTGTTTAAATCACAATCAAGTAATTGGAGGTCCACATCTCTCAAAATGTGCCCATTCCCCTACTTCACCATGCTGGGAGGCTGTACACGTTTCTGTGTTTCTGGGGATATTAGTTACAATCTACTCTAGCTTTTTTCAACTAGGGTCCCTCCAAAGTACTCTAGGGATTCCTTGAGAGATGACCAGTTTTGGCCTTCCTGGGATCATCTCACATAACCACCAGGGGCGGACTGACAACTCATGGGGCCCCCGGGCAATAGGGGATCATGAGGCCCCTGTGTCCTCGCCCACACCCAAACAAGGCTATGAAAAAGCCAATGAAAGGTACCAGGGGCATCTCATGGGGCCCCCTACTGACCCTGGACCCACGGACAGTGCCCGAGTGCCCAAATGGTCAGTCCGCCCCTGGTAACCACTGCACCAATGATTATTTTTGAACATCAATGTGAGGTGCATTTTTCCCATTGATTACCAGTGTAAAAGGATTCTTCTTGACCATCAGTGTAAGGGGCCCTTATCCCAATGACCAACAATATAAGGAAATCCTTCTCCCACTGACCATCAATCTAAAGGATGTTTCTTCACTGACCACCAAGTGTTAGATACTTTAAGCACACCCCATTCTTTCTTTTATTCCTATATATCAGCTTACTGTTCATGCCAAAGTACCTTGAGGTGTAGATTTAGCATCTAGATCCATGAGCTCCAAAAGTTATTTCAATCATTTTATACAGGTTGAGAAGTGCTGGTCTACTCTATTGTACTGTGAATCGGTTACAACATTTTTTCCTGCCAGTAACAGCACTTCCCATTACAGACTGGCCATGCTAAGCCACAACCTTGTAATTAGCAGCAGCGTTGTCAGCCTGCTGAACTCCTTTAGTTGACTGTTTGGGTCTGCAGGTGACAAGTACAGATCTGAAAAGCAGCCCTATGGCCAGCTGAAGTAGTGTGCATAGCTGGCTGCCAACACTGCTGCTAAGTGCAAGGTAAGTGCTGTTAATGGAAGAATCTGAAGGTTAGAAATGTTGCAAAAAATCACAAAAGAATGATTTGCTTAAGAAAACTGTATATATTAAGGCCAAGCATACTAGAAAATAGGTTTTGAATTTGCACACACTTTAAAAAAAATGAAGATACAGTATAAAAGGACTTCCACCTAAAGAGGTGTTAAACGATTTAACTGAACCGCGCTTTATACCAGAACAGGCACATTTTTTAGATGATTTAGATACCTGTGAACATTTTCTCATTCTCAGACAAGCTGATTCATTCCTGAAACAAATTGGCTAAAGCTGTCCTTTCCAGTTCACTTTCACACTTGTCCAGGGGCAACTTTCTCTACAGTCACTTTCTGACTTCTCTTCAGAGCCTAAGCAACCTAAAACAAATATCAAATAGAAAATCCTGTGCCAAAACAGTGAAGAAAATGAAGATAAAATAGTCTATCTGCACAAATTTACAGCCACATACAGTTGCAAGAAAAAGTATGTGAACCCCTTGGGATTATGTGGAGTTTTGCATGAATTGGGCATAAAATGTGCTCTGAACGTCATCAGCAATAGAAAAACACAGTCTGCTGAACATAATACTACACAAACATTAGATGTTGCCATGGTTTAATTGCACATAACATGTAAACATTCACAGTGCAGGGAGGAAAAAGTATGTGAGGCCATAGCTTAATGACTTCTCCCAGAGCTAATTGGAGCCAGGAGTGAGCCAACCTTGACTCCAATCAGTGTGATGATATTGGATGTGTTGCTGACAGCTGTCCTGCCCTTAAAAAACACACACCTGTTTTGGGTTTACTGGTTTCAAGAAGCACTGTCTGATGTGAACCATGGTTCGCAGAAAAGAGCTCTCAGAAGACCTACGATCAAGAATTGTTGACTTGCATGAAGCTGAAAAGGGTTACATGTGTCCACGGTAAGACAGACTGTCTACAAATGGAGAAAGTTTAGCACTGTTGCTACTCTCCCTAGGCTAGGTCGTCCTGTAAAAATGACTGCAAGAGCACAGCGCAGAATGCTGCACGAGGTAAAGAAGAATCCCAGAGTGTCAGCTAAAGACCTACAGAAATCTCTGGCACATGCTAACATTTTTGTTGACACATCTACAATAAGGAAAACATTAAACAAGAATGGAGTACATGAGAGGACACCATGGAGGAAGCCATTGCTGTTTAAAAAGAATATTGCAGCACGTTTGAAGTTTGCAAAAGAGCACCTGGATGTTCCACAGCACTACTGGCAAAATATACTGTGGACAGATGAAACCAAGATTGAGTTGTTTGGGAAGAACACACAACACTATGTGTGGAGAAAAAAAGGCACAGGACACCAACATCAAAACCTCATCCCACTGTAAAACATGGCGGAGGGAGGATCATGGTTTGGGGTTGCTTTGCTGCCTCAGGGCCTGGACGGATTGTTGTCATTGATGGGAAAATGAATTCCAGAGTTTATCAAAACATTTTGAAGGAAAACGTACGACCATCTGTCCGCCAACTGAAGCTCCGCAGAGGATGGGTGATGCAACAGGACAATGACCCAAAGCATACAAGTAATTCAACAAAACAATGGCTGCAGCAGCACAGAATACGCCTTCTGGAGTGGTCCAGTCAGAGTCCTGACCTCAACCCAATTCAAATGCTGTGGCATGACCTTAAGAGAGCGATTCACACCAGACATCCCAAGAATATTGCTGAAACAGTTTTGTGAAGAGGAGTGTGGTCCAAAATTACTCCAGATCGTTGTGCAGGTCTGATCTGCAACTACAGGAAACGTTTGGTTGACGTTATTGCTGCCAAAGGAGGGTCAACCAGTTATAAGTCCAAAGGTTCACATACTTTTTCCTCCCTGCACTGTGAATGTTTACATGTTATGTGCAATTAAACCATTTTATGCCCAATTCATGCAAAACTCCACGTAATCCCAACGGGGTCACATACTTTTTCTTGCAACTGTATACCAGATGTTAATTGGTCTTATGCTATATAGGTCAGGTAGCACACACTCACCAATGGCAGCCACAGAGCCTTCAGATGCTGGAGAACCATCTCACTATCTCTCAGACAAAAGTATCATCAGAATGGTATTGTATCTAAGAAAAGTAAGAACGCATTGTCTCCCAATAGTGTCCCAATAAGTCCTTAAAGTAATTTTCCTTAAAAAAAAAAAATCATAAAAAAACAGAAATCAAAATAGCCAGGATTAAAATAAAAGTAGCTTAATTTCAACATCCTCCTTACTGCACCTGAAGCAGTTGGTCAGTGGTTGAGGGTAGTTCTTAAGCAACTTGCAAGCACCTCAGAAGCAGCTTAAAGTGGCTCTAGGGGATAAACATTTTTTACCTTAAAGCGGAGCTCCACCTAAAAGGGGAAGTTCTGCTTTAAGGACTCCTCCCCCGCTCCCCATTAAGGACTGGCACCTTTGGGGGGTGGGTGGGTGGGAGCAGGTACCCAAATGTGACAGGTACCCGCTCTCACTTCCGGTCCGATCGTCTAGGCAATCAGAAGCGGAAAGTGTCCTCCCTCCCTCCCTGTAGTCTTTTGGGACACATGACAGGTCCCAGAAGACTACAGGACCATTCATGAAGCACTGCGCTACTCTCGCATGCGCAGTGATACCCTGCCGTGAATCCGCAAGCTGTCACAGCCGGATGCCCACACTGTAGATGTCGGCCTTAAAGAATACAGGACGGCCGGTGAAGCAGCTGCAGGGGACACATCGCGGGGACCGAGGGACAGGAAAGTAGCTGTTTTTTAAAAGTCAGCAGCTACAGTTTTTGTAGCTGCTGACTTTTATTTTTTGACGGGGTGAGTGGAACTCCACTTTAATGCATTCTCTGCATTAAGGCAAAAAAATGTGGTTCTAACTGTCCCTGCCTTCCTCCCCAAATACCTGACTCCTCCTACTGATCTAGCTCTGCCCCTGGCTGCAGCACGGCTCCTCTCACTTCCTGTCCTTGCAGGAGACACTGAGAGCTGTAGGAACCATAGGTTCCATAGGGAGTGGGGGTGTGGCTTACCGGTGCTATGTGTCTCTATTGATGCACATGGTCCACCTCAGGAGCGTGCCCATGCAGTTTGTTGAAGAGGAACCTGCAGAAGGAAGCAGTGGAGAATGCTGGCAGGGGGCTGGCAGAAGTGGAGGTAAGAGACCACTCTGTGGAATATCAATATCATCACGGAACAGGTAAATTGTACATCTATTTTATTTTAATTAAAAAAATAGCCTTTTGCAATCAATTTAAATAACCCATAAGCCTGTTATAACCAACTCAGAAGTCAAAGCAACTCAAAAGCATGCATCATTTGACTTGCTTCTGATGCTGAAGCCTGTGTACATAACCTTGTAAAGTAGAACTAAAGGCAAAACTCTTTTTTTTCCCATTTTGAACAGAATAAGGAAAGGTTATAACCCCTGTCAGGTTATTTTGTTATCTGTGTCCCATTCCCTTCACTTTCTGTCCCATAGCCAAAACAGATCTGCTGGTGCTTCCCACCCACCAGTATGCAAGAAAACTGAAGAGCTCTTGGTTGATGGGTGACATCATAAATTTCTTGCAGGACATGGCACATTTATCTATTACAAAACTTCAGAAGATGGTATAATCTATCACGTAAAGTAAAAAAATATATATAATTAGAAACTTCCCAGGTATTCCAAAAACAGCACTTAGCCCAATTATACTCATCCTTTGAAATTATAATACTAAACAATGGCTTGCTTTATATGCAGCAAGATTTGATTCCAGAGTCATGCCTCTCAGACTTTCCCACACAGCACCTTAATGTCTGCTTTACTCCCAGAATATCAGGAGCTGCAGGAATGTGACCCTTTCACCTTTACTATGCAGGAAGGATTCAGAGAACCCTGTGCCAAGGCACCAAAACCGATCTCCTACCCTGTACAGGAGTTAGGCATGCCAAGTATGCCCTTCTGCTCTTCTGTAACCGTCTGTAATCATAGTGATAGTAAAGAACCGTTCAACCAAAATTATTGTATAAAATGATAACAGGAAAATTGCAGGCAAGGCACAAGAAGGAATAATGTACTTCTTTTTTTCTTTGCACAGCCTTTATTGAAGAAAAACAAACATGCGTCTTAAGGCCTGTACTAAAGAATGAAGCCTGTCTATGACATGATGCTGCCACAAAAGGCAGTACTTGTACTTCTTGCCCAACCTAAACTGTCTTACGTCACCTCACTTCTAACATCTTAAGAGCCAATTTATAATGCAGAGGTCATACGGCTGCTTTTCAAAGAAAACATCTTACTGCACATATAAAAAGTAGAACGTTGTGATGCCCTTGTGAGGGTGGGGATGTATCAGTATCTAAGGTCCTCCTAGGTCAGGCCTGTTGCCTAAGGAGGGTCTAAATATGCCTTAAAGGATGGGTCTGGAGTTTAGGCCTCAAGCTAGCCCCACCTCTATGGACTGGTCCCAAGATAATGTACTGTTGGGATAC